ATGCAGTTTACAGTTTGGGACATGGCAGCTTTCTACATGTCAGCCTACACAATTCCCATGTGAAATCCTAATTTCCAAGTTAACACTTACCCACTTACATGTTAAAAATGCAAGTATGACTGAATCTCCCTAATAATTCCATCTATGCCTAAAAATTAATCTTTGGAACTGATGAAAAGAGTGAAGAACTTTAAACCAAAAAGAAAATTCCTATCTTGCAAACCAAGAAACATATATAAATAAATATCCTAACCAGTCTTTAAGTACTACTACTAAAAGCATAAAGTAACAAGTCTGTTTTTTAAAATCTGGGTCAGTAAAAAAAAAGTCTGCTATCAACAGGTTTGAAAAAGAAACTTTAAAACAGCATACACAATGGTACAGAGAACTTGATACCCTCTGGAATACTGATTAAAAGTCTTTAAAAAAACCCAGAATCTTGAACAGATATAAGGGCTTTTCATAACCTGAGGTAAACCCTTGGAAGACACTTTAACAAGCTGTACCTGTGGTGTTTTCCAAGAATGATAACGAAAAAAACATGATGGATTCCAATATTAAAACTCATTTATAAGACTCTCCATGTCCAGCAATTCACAGGATTTCCCACATGATCACAATGCATCTACAATATTTCCAGAAGTTCATTTTGTTTCTTCCAAAAATTTCTTCAGAAAGTCTTTCTAGGATGCTGGTACTCAATTGTGTCATTTAAGGATAGGCCATCACAGCACACATGGTCAGTGTTTGCCCTTCAGATCTCTTCAGATATTAAATAATACATATTAATCTATTTTAAAGGTAACTCAATTGATATAACACTTACCTGTGCAGTTTCTGTCATTTTCTGTTCAAAATCAGATTTAAATGCAGCATATTTCTCCACATACAGTTTATAAGTATCTGTGGCTTTTTTTGATTTAACTGCTGCCTGTAGATGAGTACAAAAATGTGTCAAATGTCACCCATACAATCTGATCCCAGGTTTTTAAAGTCAAAATTAAAAGAAAACCTAGGATGATCTATAAAAAATATTAGGGGGTATATCAAACCAGTAAAGTTTCAAAACAAATTTCATCACCAAATAACTAAGAATCAAGACATTAGAAATTTCTGTTTAAATATATGCATAAACAACATAAAAAGGTAACAAAGCAACTACCTCATTCAAATACTTTCCCTTTATCAGCATTGAGAAATTTACAATATACTTATTTTGAAATCAAATTTGTATTGCTCAAGTAAACTAACTAGCTCTTGTCAAATATTTAGATGTGCAACAGAAAAACAAGAAGAAAGCAGGGTTGGGATCCAGAGCAAACAGTTGCTTGTGCAATTCTGAAAGAGTCAACGGTAAAACCCAAGAAGGTGCAGTTGTGTGTTAGAAATGAAGGAAGAAATTCAAAATTATGGTTGTTACATCAATGGAAATTTTAAAATGAAGACATATTCGAAAGTTAAGTTAATGTAAAACATACTGATCGCAAGATTTATGCAGCTCAGTGTTGTTTATAACAGTCCTTTTTTGTCTTTATAATTTATTGAGTATTCTTTCATTATTTGTTGCTAATAAACCAAAATCATATAAGAGTTTAATATTCTTGAAAGACAAAACAGGAGAATCCCAATATTACATGGAGAACAAAACTGAGTTAAGTGATTTTCTGTAGTAGAGAAAAAGTTATTTTCGAGGTTTACAGCATGACATACATGAGATGGAGTTTTTCAAACCTTTGCTATTCTTGCTATTTCCAAGTTGAAAATCAATGAAAATAAAATTGTCTTGAACCCCAGCTTTTTTCCAGCTTCTTTGTTCAACATGCCTACTTTATCTCATTGAAATTTCCCATCAGTTGTAACTCAAATATATTCCAGAATTGTAATGGCATCCGTAAAGACAGCTGTGGATTTACTACTTGTTCTAGTTCTGAATAGCTTTCCTTCCTTCATTCAAATTAATTTCATCTGTCCCACAGCAAAACCAGAAATGATTGCTCACTTGCAATGACTTTAAAGCTGACCACTCTCTGTAACTTTCAAATGAATTAGTACAAAGATGCCCGCCAGAGAGTTATATTCTGCAGTTTCCAAGAGAAAAATAACAGAACATCATGAGTAACAGCATAGCATTAGCACCTGGGGAAACATCAACCAGGAATTCAAAGGAATCAGAACCAAAGCTACAGGTCCATTTTTCCAGTCAAAAGGAAAACTTAGTTCTGTAGTCTTCTAAATCCAGCATAACAGAGCCTGAGAATACCTCAGTGTATGAAGGATATGGATCCTTCAGGCATTAAAAGGAAAGCATGACAGGTTGTATCAAACCCACCAGTTACTTGTCCTGAATTTTACTACATGATTCTCACTCTTGCACATTCACAGAAAGGAATTACCAAGAAGAAAACAGTCCTATCTTGTTTCCCAAATGTCATTTACTACACTGAAAGTAGAAGGTGCTCCAACAACGCTTGCTTTTAAAAATAATTATACTGCTTTGCAATGATTCCAAACTTAACCATTGAAAAGGAAATGCCAAGTTAAAAGACTCAAAAAATAACTTTATATTCATAAAGCATTATGTAATTGAACCCAAAATGCATGGGATTTTGACAAAACCAAATCATTCTGTCCCTTACAGTCATGTTTAATGATGAGCAGAATCTGAGTGTAATGTGCTGCTGAAGAGCACCTACAAAACCCATCTACTCAGCAGGACAGACAAAATGATAAAACACGAGGATGTTGGAAGATTAACTAGTAATTTCTTCTGAAAACAGGATGTGTCTATTCTCACATGCAGCAATTGCTAGAACTCTATTTACCAGATTTACAGTAAGTGAAAGAGTAAGGATCAGCCAAGATTTTTTTGTCAAGTCACTATAAATAGAGAAGTTCACATGTCAGAGAACAACAGGAAATTATTACACAAGTTAACATTAACTTTCAGCTGCAATCAACACTGCAAGATCTCTGATACCTCCTCAGATTCTTCAATAAAGTATTTTTCCAAATATTTGGTTTTGTGATAAGGTCTTAGTGTATTGGTGAAGATCCCCCACTTTCTGATAAAGCAGTTACTCTGAAATTTTGATAGAAAACATTTTTCATGTTGTGCTAAAAGTAATAAACCTATTCTCTGCCACAGAAAAAAAGGGCAAATACAATCTCTGTCACTAAGTTTCTCAAATTACAAGTGTCAATTTGAATAAAGAAATGACTGAAGAGATGTCATGGTCACTGTTACCTGCTATCACTGGAAACATATCTTAAGTACTTGCAGAGCATTCAACTATGGCCTAATTGTTCAAACAGAAGTATCTAGGGAAGAGGCATAAAACAGTAAACAAGGGGTTTCATCCTACAGTGCTTCTTCTTTCTTCTCATGTAGACATCAGTCAGACTGAACACTTTTTTGTTTCCAACTGAACAAGGAAAATGTTACATCTTAAAAACAAGCATTCCATCAAGTCAACTTTTCCTACTGAAAAGTTTCAATCTATTTACAAGAATTCAGAAAAATTTTACTTTGAATAGACTGGCAGGAAAAAATCTGCCAACCCACACATTTCTGAATCATGTCTAGAATCCAACACTGACTGTCATTCGAGACATATGCTAGGGGGGGGAAAAAAAAAATCGAGATTTATATCAAAGATAAAACAATCAGAAGATGGCCAGCAGGATCACTTTTGTCATCAGTGAAAAGTCAACAACAAACTATCTGCTCCATCAAGATTGCACTATATAATGCATTAAGATGATTCTTCCAAGAACGAAGTCCTGCACAGATGAGGTAATGGAAATGGAAATAGGGAGAGATATCAAGATTTAGAAAGAGAAGACATAATTACAGACAAGGAAGCATGACCTCTTTTTTCCTCTACTGCTTAGCTTCTTGAAAACAGGAAGAAGTTACAGTGATGCCAGCAGGTCAAGGGAGATGATCCTTCCCTTCCACTCAGCACCGGTGAGGCCACATCTGGAGCATCCAGTTCTGGGTTGTCCATTGCAAGAGAGACGTGGCCATACTGGGCAGAGTCCAGCAAAGGCCTGTGAAGATGATGAAGGGACTGGCGCTTATCTCCTACGAGGAAAGGCTGGGAGAGTTGGGACTGTAAAGCCTGAAGAAGGCTCAGGGAAGATCTCATCAATGTGCATGAACAAGTGAAGGGACTGTGCATAGAAGACAGAGACAGGCTCTTTCCAGTGGTGCCCAAGAAGGTTGCTCCTGAATGTTAGGAAACACATTTTCACTGTGAGGGTGACAGAGCACTGGCACAGGTTGCCCGGAGAGGATGTGGAGTCTCCATTTTTGGAGATATTCAAAGGCTGTCTGGACACTGTCCCAAACAACTGGCTCGAGGTGGCCTTGCTTGGGCAGGAGGGTTGGACAGGATGACCTCCAGAGGTTTCTTCCGACCACAGTCGTTTTGTGATTCTGTGAATTTTTCAAACTCCACCGTAACCCAAGGACAGTACTCAATACAACACTGAGATATCCCTTGGATTTTTGGTCCATGAAATGGAAACCTTTTAAATAAGCACTGAAAGTAATGTTAACTTCTTTTTCTTCTCAATGGAACAGACTTCAAATACTTAAAGTAATTGCTACTATACAAATACAAAGTAATTAGCTACTTTATCTCATTGAAGGGACAACACAAAACCACTTGCTCTTTAATAGCAAGGGCATTGAGTGTTTATACATTTACGTAAGGAAATTTATCCAGAAACATAATAGACGCTGAAACAATTACATACAATTTCTGTAAAAGCCAGTAAACAAAATTATATGATGTACATATTTACAAAATAAAGAATTAGAACTGCAGTGCAGTTAGAATAGTGAAGTGTAAACAAAACATAACTAGGTATTCAAAATATCATGCACATTATGAAACAGGCACATGTACAGCTTTTAGCTATTTTTAGCCTTTTCTGAGCATTTCTTTAACTAAGACCAAGACAAATGTTACTGATTGGCAACACAATGAATTAAAGTAAGATGTCACAGAACTACCTTATCAACTTCTCTCTGTGTTGCTCCTTCCTTTTTCAAACGTTCTTGTTCCACACACTTTGCATTGTAGTTTTCCTTTGATTTCTGTAAGGCCTGAGTTATACTCTGAATATTTTGCACTGCTTCCAAGGTTCCTGAAACATCTTCTTTAGTCTGCCAAATATCATATGGTTGTCAAAACCAAACCATTGTAATTTTAGTGTTAACAAGTCCTTGGAAATGCATAAGAAGAAAAATAACAACCTTTTTATAAGCCTTGATTTGTTCATCTCCATACTTGTGAACTTCTTTTATTAGTTCTTGTAATCTCCGCACAAGATCCAAGTGACAGCTTGCTAGTTTTTCTGTTGAGGTTTTGAAAACATCCCAAACTGGTGCAAATGTCCTAAATTGAGGAAAATTGTATTTAATGTTCATCCAAAATTTTTTCCTTTTGGTTGATAGTTTTTTTTTAATAGTGCCAATGAATAACTGATAAATATACAGAACTTCACTTCTACTCCTAAAACTGAAAAAAAAACCCAAAACCCCAAACCCCAACAACTGCTTTAAATTCTCATTAAATATGTTTCAAATGTACTTGGAATCCTATCTACTTTCCATGTTTTATGTTTTACTTGTATTGACTTTAACGAGTAAAACACAGCAAAGTTCACTTGAACTTCTCTGTCATCAGCATATAATAATGCCAAGTGGTATTCATAAAGATGATGCATAATAATTTAACAGGTAGATTTTTTTTGTGTGTGTACTTGAATAGTGCAAACAAATCAGAAATTACTTGGTTAGGTAAGTTTCTAGTCGTCTTACACCATTACAACCACAAGATGCAGGAAAAAATGTTAGCAGAGATGGTCTGCCGCTAAAAGGGTTTTACTGATTAACAGAGATTAACCATACGGCAAAGGAAGGTGGGGGACAGGTCATTCCTCAGACTCAGATTTCTGTACTGAATGGAATTCTCCAGCTATTCTAAAGACAACACTCCTACCTCAGTTTTGTGCTTAATGCTGCTGACAAATCAATACTATACATAGCCTTTAAAGCACTGATGTTCAAACTGACATGCAGATACAGAACCTTTGAAGAACAGCAACAACTGGTATCAAATGATCCACTGACAAAAACTTCCCACATTTCTAGCTGTGATTACTACAAATAAAACAAAAATCTAGCCTCATTGAAGAAGTGCAAGTTCTTGCTGCCATAATCTTTCTCATGAAAAAACACCCATTAATAAAGAACTTATCCCATGTATAAATCTTCCATTAAACTACGGAATAAATCTACTGAAATGTCTCATTCTTAACATCTCTGAGGAGAGAGATAACACTCCAGAAAGCAGAAATAATAGAAATAAATAAATTTGCTGCCACATTTGCAGACCATATGTTCTCTCTTCAGAATAATTACCACAGGCTTGGGAGCACAGAATAAAAAGTCTTGTTCTTTATTATGTTTGAAAAGAACTCAACCTTCAACACAGATGAACACACAGTTCCTCCTTGTTTGGGCTTTTTTTTTAAACTGTGAACAAAGAACTGTACAGCGTTTTTCTCATAGCTGTGTGATATTTTGCCCAGTTACTGATGAACTAAAAATCACTTTGAAAGATGGCAAAGTTATACTACCTTCAACAACGTCAAAAAAATATTCAGAACCAAACTTGATCCTTAACATATATGCAATTACTTATTTCTCTTTTATGTACAGTTACTTACCCGAGTTGCGTGTAATTGCTTGCTGATTTGGCTAGTTTTGTCATTGACCTTGAATATGCCTCCTCTATCGCAGCCCTGATTTAAAGAAAGCCATCAAAAGCATAATTAAATTTGAAGATATTTGTGGACAGATGAATATGCATTCTAAGGGTGCAAAACAGAGGACTTCTTGCTTTAGCTGAAAATTACTCCATTTTAATGAACCCTCCAAAACAATATGGAAAATCACAGATGTATATTTAAAAAAAAGAAAAAAAAAATCTAAGAAACCTGTGACAGAATGTTGCAGAGAACAGAAAAAAGTACAACCAAGGGACTCAAGTCTTGAAAAAGATGATTTCTTCCTATACTCTCTGCTGTTCCACCACAGCTTTCACATTCTTTAGTAACAATGAGACAAACCGACGTATTACCCACCTAGCACTGTCTGAACAGCAGACATTTACAGCACAGCAAAATCAAATATATTTATAACAATAACATTAAAATAAAAAAACTGAATGCTTGCTGAGCAATCACACTGAATAAAATGGGGTCTTGTCTAGCCATTTTGTAAGGGGTGTTTGGTTTTTTGTTTAAGTTCTTTGAATAGCGATATTTGCATTTGGAAAACAGTAAAATAACATGCAATGAAAAGTATTGTGTTCCACTTTTTATACTCATTTTTAAAGAAGGTTGTCTCAAATATATTCTGATTTATTTTGCAAAACCTCTTCCCTAGATAAAGTTTCATTATATTTTCCTGCACTCAAACCACAATTTTACTTGTCTTGTGGAGATTCAAAATCCAAGGGTCAGCATAGATTTCTCCTTTAGAGTCTCTGCTGGGGCAGTGCCATGGAATAGCAGTCACACACAACTTATCACAGCCATGTCCTTCCCCCATCAGTCTTCCTCACCCTCTTATTACTAAGGTAAAGATACACACTACTTTAATTTTCCACTCTAAATCAATGTTGATATATATCATGTCAACTTTATAAGCATTCTGGATTTGAGTAAATACTGTAATTGCCTTTTCTTGGAAATGCAAAGGCTTGAAGCAATTTCTTTCCTGCTGTGAAACACCTTTATTCAAGGGTTAAAGAGAGGAAGAAAAGGGAGATGAAGAATTCACTCCTCTCTCAAGTTATACCATGACTATGACCACTTATTGCTCAGGCAGAGTTTTTATTTCTCTTTAGTAGCAACACTTTCCAAGCAAAAAGAATTTGAAACAAAAATGAAACAAAGAAACAGGAGTCACCTGAAACAGAGGGGCATTTATTTAAAACTACTGAACTACAAAAATAACTACCCAGACAGTTGGACAATCAGTTTAGAGAAGGGGATTAGGCTGTAAAATGCAGTAACTCAATTACATTTTAAATCTCACCTACAAACAATGGTTAAGTTATTCACCATGAGAAAGGTAAAATAACTTTATTCTCTTTCCACATACGTATCTATTTTTTGATGATAAGAAAAAGTTTAAGTTTCCAAGGTTTGGAATTCTTGCTCACTGCACAGCAACCAGCACATACGCAGAGACACCCAGAAGAGACACGGTTTTTTAACTATCATGATGAACAACATATTTTGATTAAGTATCAAAAGCTTCTTTTTAAGTTTTCGAGATTAGACAGTTCAGTGTCTGTGTGTCCACCTTCTCCACACCCTACACCACCCCTCCCTTTTTTAAAAAAAACAAGATTTATGACCAAAATCCACACCTCATCTACAATCCACACTCACCTGAGCAGCTTCCACAAAACCAGAGTTCTGAAATTTACTACATAATGTAAACACCAACAGCTACAAACACCAACAACTGAAAGATGCCGTTACTTATCAGTTGGACAATATTTTGCCCTATCATTTGTCCTACATTTGTCCTGTCAACTGACTTTCCAGAGCACTCTGACATATGAGTAACTAGGAGTGCCTAAGTAAATTAGTTTTCACCCATTTGAAAATCTGTCTTTGCTTGGGATCTCTTAAACGTTTAGAAGTTAAATGGGAATATACGCATTTCCAGGAGATTCTTTTTATGATGCCTACAGGCACGTGGTGCAGAAAAAAATCCAAAAGACTTCTGGAGAAAACCCATTTAGTTCCTAGTTGAGCACAGTGGTTTCTTATATGTAAACAGTTTAGGTGTTAAATATACACAAATATAGGACAGCTCACCTACAAAATATTCCCAGTATTTAAAGAAAAAAAAAAAACCCTGTAGGGGTAACCCAACCTTCATATATTTTCACTTCTTTAATAACAAAATTTCAATATGCTTTACCAAGAACAGAGCAAAGGTATTTTTCAGCAGAGAGACAGGTAACCTGCCCCACCCAAGATATTCCAACACTGAGCAGATTGACTCCACAAAATTCCCTCTTTCAGATGACCTCTTTCTTTTGAACCGCTGTATTGGGTCTGCATAGCAAGGTTTTGGTAGCAGGGATGAGTTCTGTGAGAAGCTGCTGGAAGCCTCCCCTGTGTCTGACAGAACAATGCCAGCTGGCTCCAAGATGACCCACTGCTGGCCAAGGCTGAGCCCATCAAGTGACACTCATGAAGTCTCTGGGATAACATGCTAAGAAGGAAAAAAAAAAGTAAAAGGGCAGATTTTGCGACAGAGTAAGTAAGATGTGAGAGACAGAACTCTGCAGATACCAGAGTCACTGGACAAGCAGGAGAAGAGGTGCTCCAGGTGCTGACGCAGAGATTCCCTAGCAGCCCACAGGGAAGACTATGGTGAGAGGGCCGGCTGTGCCACTGCAGCCATGGAGGGGCACGGGGGAGCAGAGACACCCCCCCCCACGCTACAGTAGGGGGATGCCTGAAGGAGGCTGTGACCCTGTGGGAAGCCTGAGCTGGAGCAGGCTCCTGGCAGGACCTGTGGCCCTGTGGAGAGAGGAGCTCAGGCTGGAGCAGTTTTGCTGGCAGAACTTGTAACCCCATAGGAAGCCCACGCTGGGGCACATTGCTCCTGAAGGACTGCATCCTGTGGAAAGGGTAATGGTGGTCCTTAGAGTAATTGCTGAATGATCTTTCCCTGTCCTTATCTTCAGCCATGAGCCCTTCACCGTATTTGACCTCCCCTGTCCAGCAGAGGAGGGCAGTGACAGAGCAGCTTGGTGAACACCTGGCCTCCAGCCAAGTTCAACCCACCTCAACCACAGATGCAACTGTCTTTCATTTCTTTAAACACTTGAACATTAATAAATACTCAAAAACAAAAATGAAAAAGTGAAATTACACTGAAGAAAATGAAATAGGTGTTGACTAACTGAACACAGTCAAGGATAAAATCTTCTGCTCCTTCTACGGATTCCCAGTTTGAACAGCAGATGTAGTACAGACATACTACAAATGAACACATTTCAAACTTTTTTCTTTCCCAGAGGAAAAAAACTTTGCAGAAGGTTCTTGTGGATGTCTTTAAATAAAAATCTTAAAATCCATAAGTTGACCGTTATTTAAAACACCCATATTTTCCCACACCCTATAAAATTTTTCTTTTTTCATTACTAAGGCTTGAGAAACAAGAACAATACACTCTTCCCTGATTTGGCTGCATACAACCAACACACAATTCTGAACAGCGCAAGTAACAGAGACTGGCTTCGCACAGACGTGTCCTTTGTGCCCTGGGCAGCCTGCACATCTATCTGTACACTCCATCATCGTTCCTTTCTCCCCGAGACCACCCTGTAAATAGAAGCAGATTCTCTGGCTAGTCTGGAGAGTCCAGCAATCCTGTCTGACCAGGTGACTACAGTACATACAAAGGTTAAGTACTTTAACTTGTTAAAAGTACTATCACCAACTCAGATCTGTCTCCTCTACCTACCCAGCAGTTTTGAGTTTTTATTCTCCTAGGTCTCTGTTTTGGGGGAGGGGGTGGGGGGGTGTGGAAAGAGGACAATATGTTCAAAAGGAATGGAGGGACAGACGTGAAGAAAGGTCAGATGTATGAAAGTTTAGTTTTCGTGGGGAGCAGTTCAGAAAATCAGGTACACAGAAGTCAAGGCATAAAAACACTAGATCTAGGAGGGTCCTAATAAATGTTGTTCATCCACTTACATCTTTCTAGCAGAAAAACAGTACTGCAAAACAATATTCAGATTCCATGAAGGAAGGAAGGCAGGCAACAGATAATTGTGTGCAAAATAGAACATGGTCAAGATAATTGGACTGTTGTAAAATACTGTTGAAGTACTGCCCAACCCAACTTCTTTTGAGATCAAGAATTTGAGCCATGTGAATACACATGTGCTACTGAACCATATCTATTTCCTGGGAAATCGACTGACATCCCACAATAACTTTACAATAGTGGTGAAGGCCTTCACTACCTAGATAGGGACACTCAAACTTTTTTACTAAAGTGGGGATACCAAATATTTAAAGTCCATCTATTTATTTGAAACTACGAACTACGTGCCACAAACTACTGCTAGCTTAGACTAAGATTGATCAGTGATGTGCCCCTCACTTGAAAAGTACCATCTATTTGGCATTCAACTGCTGAGATCTATTTAAGGCCAAAACTCCAAAGCTGGTTTTTTTGGACAGCTTGTACTGCAGAAAACCTTCACTGAAACAGGTCCTCAGTCAGTCTCTTGCAAGTTTTTTCGATGGTGTCAGTAACTGAATTAAGACAAAATTCTGAAGAACACATGCAATTAATTTTGTCCAGAATGGAAATTCTTGTGTTCAACATAGCAGCAGCAGTCTTCTTTCACAAAGAAGAACTAAAACTAGGTCACCTGTTTTGGAAGTTGTCACATCTGCAATTTCAGTTCTGTCCCTTCCATCCCATAAAGAAACACCTGTCATAGAATCACAGAATGGTTTATGTTGGAAGGGACCTTAAAGATCATCTAGTTCCAACCTCCCTGCCATGGGCAGGGACACCTTGCACTAGACCAGGTTGCTCAAAGCCACATCCAGCCTGGCCTTGAAGACATCCAGGGATGGGGCATCCACAATAGTGTTGTGTTATTTTATGCATATTATTTTCTTGTCTCTACATGTCACTCCCTTTCCTAGTTTCTTAACATCTTAATCTGAAAGTGTAATTTTTTTAAAGATCATACTAGCTGCTGCTAATATCCTAATTAACATCTGTGGTCAAAAACTGTGTAAGGCTGATAAATTATTGTTTTATTTCAAAACATGATGAAAAATTTGGATTAATTTAAATCAATTGCTGGACACCTAATGTGACATTTCTAGCTTTTTACTAATTTTTTAATTCAAACATGAAAAATGAGAAGTCTGCTATTAACTGATGTTTAAGAGTCACCATTCAGTTCTAAGTGAATGGAATAAACGTTGATGTTCTTGTAGGATATAAGAGATATTTTAAAATGCTCATTCTTTTTTACATATTCTGTATGTTGCTGTTAAACATGATAAACAAAACCCACAAATAGTAAAGAGTCAGGATTACCAAGGATAAATACTTACCTTTCTCTTATAAAGTCCGCTAAGTCTTTTGTTGACAAATGTCCGTGTTTCATGTTGTGATAGAGGACATCAAAGCCATTGTTCCTTTCCCCCTAAATATTAACAAAAAGAAAGTAGAACAATGAAACGCAACACACTAAAGCAATTACAAAACAAAGTATAGAACCTACGCATATTAATAACCGACCAAGTTCTGTGAAGGGAATGACTTCTAATGCTTCAGCTTTTTATCAATTGCTATTAGTTCCCTTCAATCCCCTATATGTACAACAAACTGAAATCACCTCAGCAGCTACTACTGTCCTTGTAATGACAACTCTTCTATTACATATTTCTAGGCTATATTCAAAGCCATTTCTTGCCTAGATTTCTACAGGTCTTGTATTCTCTCACTTCCGATCTTATTAAACACATAATTAATGTTGTAAACTCTCCATTCTCTAATATCTTTAATTACTTTCCGTGAACTATATTTCACACTTTGGGATCACTGGATATTCTGCTTTGCTAATTCTTCACACTTCATGTATCTTCCTTTGGTTTGGGTGGTTTTTTTGTTTGGTTTTGTTTTGGTTTTTTAAATTGATAACAAAACTCATTAATCTTTTCCCTCTCACAGGTAGGTTCCTTTTGTCTATTCTCAAGTTTGGTTTTAAAACAACTTAAAATATTTTCCAGTTAGCAAGGCATAACACCATTAAAACTGAGACACTGCCCTAAACACTGATTAATGAACTCAGCCAACTTATCAACTCTGGCACTATGGCGAACTTCCTCCGGACAGAAGAGAGCAACAATAGCAATGAAAGGAAGGCGAGGCGAGGCAAGGCATAATAGCACTCCTACTATAAAAGTCTTCCTGTCAAACTCTCCATTCCCCTCCTCCCTCTTCCAAAATCTTTAGATCCAAGATGCAGAAACATGCCTGCAGGAAAGCTGCATGCATGTTGAGAATGGAACGGAAAGAAGATATTTCAGTTGGAAGGGATGTACAAGGATCATCTAGTCCAACCACCTGACCACTTCAGGGCTGACCAGAAGAAGTTAAAGCATGCTGTTAAGGGCACTGTCCAAATTCCTCTTAAACACTGAAGGGCTCGGGGCATCGACCACCTCTCCAGGAAGCCCATTCCAGTGTTTGACCACCCTCTCGGTAAAGAAATGCTTCCTCATGCCCAGTCTGAACCTCCCCTGGCTCAGCTTTGAACTGGTCCCATGCGTCTTATCACCAAACCCCGGGGGGAAGAGATCAGCACCTTCTTCTCCACGTCCCTTCCTCAGGAGGCTGTAGAGAGCAATGAGGTGGCCCCTCAGACTCCTTTTCTCCAAACTAGACAAACACAAAATCTTTAGCTGCTCGTCACAGGATATTCCTTCCAGCCCTTTCACCAGCATTGTTGCCCTCCTCTGGGCACATTCAGGGACCTTAATCTCCTTCTTAAAATCCTGGACTTTTCACAACAGCAGCTCTACATATCCAGTGACAGGAGCCTGAGGATTTGGTCATACAGCACTCCAAACATTTCTGTTCTTTCTGTTCTGGAAAAAGTTTTTTGTGCAGCCATAAGGCTCTCCTGATCAGGGAAATTATACAGCTGAAAAATAAAGCTGCAAATAATAATAAAGATCAGTAATCCAGGTCACCATGAGGACATGAACAGCTGCATTGCTCAGCAGAAGAGGTGGGAGCAAGGAGAAGGCAGGCAGGGATCTGCCAGCTTAAGTAGGGATGGAAGAACTTCGCAGCAGTAGTAGCCTGCTGCCGTGAAGTGTTAACTGCACTACATAACACATCAGTCAATAATATAGCAAGCTGCCCTAAAGGACACCACACACAGACACAGAAATTTACAAATAACATGATTGAAGGCAATTTGATTCAGTTTACTAGTCAGGATTATTTGCTTTACATCTTCCAAGCATCAGGGAAAACAAAACCAAACAAAATAAAATTAAACACAACAAAACAAACCCAAAAAAACAACCCACACTTATAAAATCACAGTTCCTAAAATTGCAGTAAGTTGCAACCTGAAAATGCAGATCAGTTTAGCACAACTGCAATTACAAAAAGGTCTGCAAAAAGTGCAAGCAGAACTAATTGAATACATGAAAATTCAGCAAATTCTGAAAGGACCATCTACAGAGCAAGGCTTTTATTAGTTTGAAAAATAAAAAAGGATAAGACCGCCAATTAGTTAGGAAAGTAATTTTTTCTTCTAAATGTTATCTTACTCTTTCAAGCACCAATCTAAACGGTTTCACCCCCCTTTCACTACTATCTAACCATTTTCCTTGTAGTTTGAAGCCCACAATAATTTTGCCTTTTTGTGCACTAACAGGCAGCTTATTAACTTTCTGTATTTACTCCATGTAAACTCTGAATGCCACCATATTATAAAAACACCAGAGTAACTGTATAATTAAGACCTCACTGATATTTACAACTGGAATACAAAATTCTTCCTTAACTACTCTAAAGTGTACCCAAATTTGGATTACAAATAAATGTTAGGCATTTCTTCCAGAAAAAGTAATAAAATTCTCCATTATGAAATATTCTTCCTCTTTGCCATAGGTGTTTCTTCTAGCTAAACCAACACATTGATCAAAACGTGTTGAACTGCTTCTGAACTTTTCATAATGAGAGCTTTCTGAACTTTTCATAATGAGAGCTTAATGGGCAGGTTTCTATACTGGAGCTTTGTAAGTTTCCTGCCACTTTAGAAATACAGGAAAGGTAGCATAGCCATGACCCAGCCCCTAGCTGCAGCCTTCCTGATGGCTGATAACCTATCAGAAATGTAACTTTGCAAAACTTTAGAGAATGGAATGAGCCAGAACAACCAATTCCCCATCATCTTCTTATTCCCTAACTGTAACTGAAGGTTACTGCAAAGGAACTCATTTTTCCACTTAAAATGAAGTTATCTAATCAGCCTTACTCTTGTTGCTGATGTCTCATAGAATAGCAGAAAGCAAAACAGAGAAACAGAACAGATACTTTCCTCAAGTAATAAAAGTTGCCTGAAAGCTACATCTTTTATACATTATCAATAGTTAACAGAGGCTAAGAGGCTATGTGAAAAAATATATTAAGGTTTAAACAAAGCAGCAAGTCCAAAGCAAGCTCCCAGATTTGAGGGCCTACATGGTTTAAGCTTGGCACAACTAAAAGACATGTTTTCACTTGTGAATATAATGTCAAGTGTAACCCATCTTACCAATATCAGGCTCTACCAGTAAGCACAAACATCTAGACTTCAACACTGTTCAATAATTTACACAATCAAGAGTTCTGATGACTAACCTGATGACAATTCTATAAAATCTTTTACTCATGTTTGGAGACATACACGTACCTATGCCAAATTAAATATGGTATCTCAGCACAGACAGCAGACTTTTTTCTGCTTTGGAAAAGCCAGACAGCCTATCCACAACTGATTCATTCATTAGTTAAGTTCATGAAGCATAGCTCAAATAGGTCAATAGGCATCAAAGTTAAGGATCTTCATTTATAATAAAGACAGATCTATGCTGTGGCTAAGAGGAAAAGTAGTCAAATTTACAAAAAATGAATATATAGCCTCTTACATGCGCATATGCTATCAACACCATATATATGTGTTTTGGCTGTTTTTCCTCAACACTGCTCCTCTCCACTAACTGTACAAAATTCTGTACATGGAAATAATGTGTCTAGCCAACTTTTTCTTCATTAAGTGTTTTTACCCACTCCTTCCTGGTGGCAAGCTGGGATCACTAAAAGCCCAGTACCAGCCCTCTTAAAAAGTGCGGCACACATTAGAGGGAACTGATGAGACCTTCCACTCCCATACAGAGGAAAATAACATCCACTGCTATGACAGACAGTGAGTGAAGTCAGATACAGATTCTTCTAGAAGCTGCATCTTGGAGAAAGAGGAACCTCTGTTGCCATGTATAACAACAGGTTCAAAGCAACAGACTTCCAGATCAGTTTGAAAGACTATTCTGAATGTCATTTTGCAGGTAAAACACCATCTGTTGAGGATGATCCTGTCATTACTCAACAAAAAACTGTAAAACTGTGTATGGAATGCAAAATATAAGTGGTCTCCTCTCCATATAGGCTCCATTTTATTAGTTAGAAGTTCATTAAAAGTTTTCTTCTTCCATAGAGCTAACGAAGTTCTCTCTTCAGAAGTTTGTGTTCTTGTTAAGGTTTCCCATTTTACACTGCTCTTTTGTGTATAAAGTATAGATGTCTCCTGACAGCAAGCCATTAGAGGAAACAAGACTTCAAATACAAGTAAACACTTCACTTAAGCCTACAATGACGCATTACTGACCGACTTTGCATACAAAACAAATTGTCATGGAAAGCAGGGGCAGGCAGTCCTTCCACTTCCCTTCATCAAAAACTCACTGCAACGATTTTCTCATGGAAATGAAAGTAACCCTGTCAGCAAATGTGAAGTCAGAATTCAGCATTTCCATGACTTGTGCATAACAGGAAACAGATTACAGGAACTCTGTTTCACTGAACTACTTAACAGCCTTCGAAACTTTTTAAGAATAAGTTTGCTTGTTGCATATAAAAATGATTCTGAATTTAAAACCTACATTTGGTAAAGTAGCCAGATATTTCTGGGCAATCTACCGCAGCGTTTATTTCCTGTGTTTCTAATCAAATAGCATGAGTGTAAGGTCTGTCTGCTTTGGACTAAAACTGTTCAAAACTAACATCTGTTAGTGTAAAAAGTTAACACTCCTTATTATTAGGTGATTCTAAAGTTCCCATGACTGGTCAGATATGTACTACTTGTTTAGCTAGTGTGAGAAGCAAGAAAAGGACACCTGCAAATACTGTTTTCACAGCAAAACTAAGCATATGAGACAACAAGAGGCACATGTTCTTAAACATATTTTGATTTTGGTCAAACTTTAGAAGCTTACTGAGAGAAGTTCAGAAGAAGTTTGATTTAGTCTAACTAAGTTCAGCAAGTTAAAAAAAAAAAAACAACCAACCAAACCAAAACCCAAACAAAACATTTGACAGTAAATGAATTACTGTAATTTCAAACTATGCTTTCAGAACATGCATTAG